CTGAAGGGGAGAGGGGAGCTCACTGCAAAAACTCTCCCATTGGGGCGCGTTCATCCTTTGTTAGGCCACTGTAAATTATTTCGATAATACATCGAACATAAATAATACTTAAATAAATATAAACATACAGAAAAATATTCCGCAGTATCAGAGTGAACAAGAATGGATAAAGATCATTTAGATGATGGAGAAGTAAAACCTCGTAACCGTAAAAAAAAACATTTCATGTTTTGATATCAGTAACATACTATCTTTAAATTATCCGTCGCCCACGCTTAAAATTAATATTTATGAAAAATAGAATCGCAGGATATCTAGCAACTGTTGCTAGATCGCACAAATAATCAACTTTTGTTGGTGATTATTATCATCAACTTTTTTTTTATTTATTGAGTATTATAACAATCTGTCTGTTGGACATTGGTTATAGTGAGGTAGGATGACATTCACACTTTATGTACAAAAAAATAAAATAAATAGAACAAAATAATAATCAAAAGTATATACAATAGACAATAAAATAAAATAACCTTAAAAATAATAAAATTAAAACTAAGAAAAAAAAAAAACACATGCATCATCAACTTTATAATACTCGTATTATCACAATCGAAAACCGGAAAAAAAACATTATTGTGATTTGATGGGCCTGCTATAGAGTAGTGAAAAATATACAAAATTGTTGAATGTTTTAAAATTTTTAATAATAGGGTAGTTTTAATAAAATTAATATTAATAAGGTTTTGTTCTGTAGAATAGAATTTTGCAGACACGAAAAACCAATTCTAAAACACCGATTTATTTTAAAATAAATTAGTATTTTATTTTTATTTATCTCACAGTTTAGAGTGCATTAAAAAAAAAAACAAAAATGTGATATAATTTTTGCTTTTGGAAAAAAAATTCTCCGCCAAATTTAGATGATACTTAACCTGAAAACTACAAATTTTACTTAACTTCAGAATTTTACGACCTTTATTTTCGTAATGTATTTTGAACCTGATTTTGGTATGCGGTAGTACTTTTTATTTTGCAGAATACTAGTTATTAATACACACACACACATGTATATATATATATATATATATATATATATATATATATATATATATATATATATATATACACATATAACTTATTTATTATTACTGACTTCCTCCCCTCCTCCAAAAAATTAGACTTTTGTGCTGTACGTCTTAGAACCACTAGAAGATATGGGTTTCCATTTTTTTTTTCCTAATTACAAAGTGTTAGTTAATTAGTCTACAGCTCATAGCTGGCCTATGTATCATTGTGTCAACCTCCATTCTCTGATAAGTTAATAACTCGCTTTGGTACTGATGGTGTAGTATTTAATCTATATCTTGGGATAGTTTAAAAAGAAAAAAACGTAATAGAAAACCAGCTAGAGCTGGCTGACTTCAACAACTCACCTAATGATTCATGCGGGTTGAAGGTTTGTTATCTACGAATGCCCTCATATTCGACTATGTTTGTTAATTTTTATTTTTTAATCTTAGTTTGTTAATGACGTACTAATAAATACGGATAACTATTTTTAATATTGTATAGTAATTAACTATTATAAAACCACTTAATTTATTACTTCATTGCATATTCACTTCGAAACATATAGCGTTTCCGAGCCTAGAGGTGTAGAGAAATCACTAATACTGGGCATACTATGAATGAGGTTTTTGTACACATGTATTTCAAGAAAACAATTTTTTTTTTTTGTAAATGTTTTCATTAAAGATGTTTTCCAAAGACTTGAGTTACTAAACATTTTTTTCCCTGTAATTTTTTTTGTTGGCGCTTGAATGACCCAGCTTGAAAACTTTTCATACAATAAAAAAAATTAAAATTAACCATATACCAAGATAAAAATTATAATATAATTGCATAAAAATGCCGTTAATGACAAATTTAAGTATTGAATTAAAAATATTAATACAATTTTCTTTTAAATACTTGAAAGCTCGTTTAGTAAATCATTATTACTTGTGTCTTATTAGAGATATATTTAAAAAAGAAAAGTATTTCCTTTTATTAGGACATAATATTTAATGTAAAAAAAAAAAATTAAAAATAATTATGATTTTGACACACTCGATCTTTTCAGTTCAGAACAGTCAATTCATTCACTATCTTCGACAAAAATTTTCGATATTCTTTAATTTTCTGTTAGATGGTCATGTGGTAATAATAATAATAATAGTATTAAAATGTCTATAATATTTTCTGCAAGATTTCTCTAACCCACAAATAAAAAATATATAATTATTTGGAACCAATAGAACTAAAGTCCTCTTTTTTGTCCTTTTAGTGAAGAAATGTTTTTATTTTATTTTAAAACTTTCTTCTGATTTTCAAATATCGTGGTAACAGAATACATTTTTTTGTATAATTTTGTTTTCAAAATTTATTGTGATTTTTTTTAAATCTCACTCAAAAAAGGACAAATTAAAAAAATAAGTGAAAGGTATCTTTAATAACCTGTAATCGTGCGTATTGCTTTATTTCCAAATTTATAATCCACTGCGATTGCTATGTTTTTTTGGATGAAAAATAAAAGTAAAAAATTTTAGATAAAATATTCTCCATCATTATTCTCCCCCTACTTCTCAACCCTTCTTGAACGCGTCAACGGAATACATTAATTTCTAGCATAGATAATTTCGTATAAAATTTTCTTTTACGTCGATACTGTGGAAACTTGATCTTACTACTGTGAGAATTTATTTTTATCAAGCTTGTTGATCAAACTTCTTGATTGTCTATTTATTCTGCAATGTATATGTGCTGTGACCTTTAACCCTTGAAGGATTTCTATTATAATTCTATTTGTGAATAACTGAAATATCCCTTTTGAAAAATCAACGCATTATTTTAAATTCATGAGTAAGTATGATTTAAATATTGTTTTAAATTATAATAAATTCAAGAGTAATATCGATTCCATTCTTACTAAAATATATTTTAAGCAATATTAATAATACTACATATATCATATTTTATTAAGTTTTTTTAATTAGGTTCCTGTTCAAAGAACAAGAAAAAAATGCAACGTCTAAACGTTATTATTGATTAAAAAAACACCCGAATTTATGTTATTTTATGGTAATTTTAAAAATTAATTGTATCCAATTTTTACGATATAAAACATCCATCAATAATCCTAATATTTTTAAAACTTCACAATTTCAATCTTTATATTTATTTTATGATTGATATTTGTATTCCTTTTTGAACCAGTAGCCATGATCCATTCTTGGGAAGGCCCTGTCTTGTAAAATGTGCGGTGAGTACCATGTAAAATGCACCGGTATACAGGGGTGCCCATCTCTCCTCCTCCCCCCCCCCCCAAGGTCAATGGCGCAAGAACCTACTCTCCCTCATGCCAAAATATTTTATTGCTCACTTTTCTTAAAAACAGAACAAGGGAAAGTAGAATTAGGAAAACCATAGATCATATACAATTACACTTGTAGCGGTTTGTCCCATGATTTCCTCTTGTCCCTTATTCTGAAACTTTTCATTCCGAAAATTCATAACTCCGTTGAAATGTGACCCCCTCAAACATTTTGATGGCTCTACTTGCGCCATAAAACCGCCTTCTGGGCACTCCTGTCAGTATGAATGTGTGTTATGATAGATTAATAAAACAATGTGTTTCCTTTGTGATTTACTATTTTTATGTAAGATATATATTTTTTTTATTTCCTCGGATCATGTAAAGTTTAATTTTTTTTGGCTTGTTAGACGAACGGTTGCCATGCTTTGAACTGATGTAATCTTAAGGAATAATGTTTCATAGATTCAATCGTAGCTTGATAGCGACCTTTATCTTCTCCAGTTTTCAAGGACGGTTTTTGGCATTCTTTTGTTGTTCTCAAGGCTTTAACGATGAGCTTTTCTTTTCTTTTTTTTTACTTTTTATATTCTAGTCTTAACATTTATTAAACTCTTCTGAAAAGTCCATATAAACTTATATTTTATTCCATAAGATATCACGCGGTAAAAAAAAAATAATTCATAAGGGGGGATCTCATAAGATTAAAAAAAAAATCTGTACAAATATTATACGAACGCAAAATTTATATGAAAGAAAAATGTTTTACAGTATTTTTCTGAAATGTATATTTTTAAAAAAAATATTTTTGGAATAATTGGTTAAGTACATTATTAAAAAATATATAATTTAAGTGTTTTTTAAGTTGGTAACATTGCGTTAGCTCAAAAGAGGTATCAGTGAATTGATATTTCTTTTAATATTTTACTAATTAGCTGACGATCAAATTTATATATTTTTAGGTTTTGTGCATGATCGTAAATTTAAAAAAGAATTGGGTAAAAGTTTCTGGAGTAGCGAAGTCTAAAAATAGCGTGCAAATTGGAGGGAAATTGGCTTGGTAGGAGAGGGGGGAGGCATCCCCACCACCTGGCTAGCCGGCTCCGCTGACGCCGGTTCTAGTCCTCAGTCTGTCGTGATCGGTTGTGTTTCATAAAGCTGCTCTCCTCTCTTCCCGTTCACTTCCCTTCGAAGCGCTTTTCGGTGAGTCATTATTACCTGTAAATATTCCAGGAAGTGTTGGACTAGCAGTATCCAGTGGACTCATCCTCCTCAACGCTTCTAAACATCACCACCTAAGGAGTAATATTCGGCAGTGCTTCCTATGTGGACAGTTTAAAGAACAGAATAAGCCGAAATGTAAAAAGATCTGTGAGACAGCTGTGGATATTGCGGCCGTTAAATCTCCACGTGCTCGCTAACAAAGGATCTCTTGTATACAGGTTTTTCTTTTCTTCTTTTTCTCTTTCTAATGCTACGAGTCTAACCTGTACATTAGTTTCGAATAAGTCTTGGTCAGTGTTTATCATTAAAAAAAAGATCCAAACATAACTAACTTCTACTACGAAACCTTTACCTAGGACAACACGATATCAAGTTGAGAAGGGGTGCAGATGTTAGGGTGGGGATTAGCAGATGGTCTGTACGCTTAGGGTCTAAAATCTAACAAAAGAGCAACTGGCCTATCCCTGCCGGCTTCTAACCTGCCTGATCTTGCTCTGTCTTGGCGTCTCCAACAAACTGGACATGGAATTTCATCCTCTTTTACATTAAGGTTTGGTAACTTCATACCACCGTTGGCTTTTTTATATGCCAAGGGGTTTGGAGTTACCCTACTTTGGTGTATATATTCACCCTTCCAGGAGATCAACGTTATTGATACTAGATTACTGTTAAATCTAATCAGTTTATGTTTTGTTGACTGAATCTCTAAACTTGGTAACATATTCTTTGTGATCTGTAACTGGTCCAAAGAATTCAGTTTTGTATACATGCTATTTACATTTATTCTCAAAACATTTAAATATTAGCTCATAAAATGTTTGGAATTTTGTTTTACATTGGTATTAATTATTAACTAGATTGTATGATAATAGAAGTAGTTGTATATGTTATGCAATTCATCTGGTTTAAAATTAGTATAAAATAACTATTGTAGTTTTAGTTTATACTTTGTACTTAGATTTTTAATTTATTAATTTGATTATTAAACTTGAATGTGCAATCTTGTTGCCGCTACAGTACTTAACTGCAATGTAAAATATTGTAGGAATTTTGTTTGGTAATTCTAAAATATGTTCAAACAGGTAGCATTTATAATTTTCAAAACCGTTGTAAATTCTGTGCATACAACTTTTGTGTAAAAGTGACATAGATGTAGATTTTGTATATTTTATTTCTTTATTATTTGTATGACCTTTATATTTTCCTTAAGACTTTGCAGTTTTACCATTTTTAATTAAATATTATTCTGTGAATATAATTATTCAATACAAGTATGGTCTTTAATCATATTCATTAGCAATATTTTGTTATAACCTGTATTATTTAATAGATGTAAACTGTCAAGATTATGTTTTGAAGTATTATCAGTGTATCAACGATTATCTAATGATGTTATGTAATTTTAGTCTCTCAGCAATTTCAAGATTGTAAATCTTTACATGCTAACGAGAGACCTTGGGTTAGATTTAGAGTGCCACAACTTGGTAACTCCACCACCGTTGGCTGTTGTTTTTTTTTAAGGCAATGGTGTTGAAGTTTCCGCTTTTAGGCATTCGTTGTTCTTCGATGACCTATGTTCTGTTTACCTGTGAAGAGAAGAGATGAGACATGAAGAGCTGGGAAGAGGGGGATGTCTGGCCTTGGGAGGCCATTCCCGCCAAGGCAAGGCTAGGGGGAGACAGTCTCAGGGATCTCCTCTGTAGCTTATATCAGCCAGTTCTAACAAACCTTGAGCGTATCAGACCATCTTTCTTCGTTTTTATTAATATAAATATTTAAAGCATCCAGACCCTATATTTATATAACCTCCCTTTATTATATTATTTTATATTTATTTTTCAGCTAGGACCAATTCTTAATTTGAATCACAGATTTCAAATAGCAATCCTCCTTATAGTTTGTTTTAAAAATTATACAAAATATAATATCTTGACTATCCTGCAGTTATTCTTTTATTCATTTGTAAATGTATACAGTTAAGTTGTATAGATTTAAGTTTTTTATTTATACTGATTTACTTTAAAGTATTATTTAAAACGCTATAATTTTACTGTTGTAATTTTCTAGTATTTTTTAAAATATAAATATTATAGAGAATCATTTAAATCTTTTAGAAAAACATAGATGTTAATATTTATATAGAAGTATTAATTTACCAGTCATTTAATTGTTTGCATACCATTGAATGGCTCATTAAAAAAAACTCTTGGTCATATGAATTAATAGCTCTTAATCATTGTTTATCAGTTCCTAAACAAAAATTAATTAATGTGGGCTAATAATATAAGCAATAGCTGGTAATACTAAAAAAAAATTGTTTACATATTTTTCTATTAGCATAATAACTTATTGTTCATATAGTTCTTTTAATCTTTGAAATTTCTTTTTATTGTACCAGGTTTATTTAACATCCGCTATAGTTATTTCTTAGACCTGCATAATATTTATAGTTGTTATTTTGCTAATGAGAAACTTCCTTTTCAGTTTGTTTAAAACATTAAAGAAGGTTCTTTGTTTAATTGCTAAATTATGCTGAAATGTTATATTAGATTTAAATTTCTTTTCTAAACTTTTTATCTGCACCAAATATTAAAATTCTTCAATAATCAACTTGTAACAATATCAAGTTTTTTAGCATTATAACTAATGAAACTCGTTGAATTCTAATAAATTAAATGAAGTTATTGAATTTTAAATATAGTAATTATTTTTATGCTTCTGGAAAGAACTACTTAAGAAAAATTACATTTTTTGTAACTGTTTCAAGCCATTCTTTCCTAATTAAAGGTGTATTGTACCCATTTTAATGATTATAATAATTGATTGAAATTTAGAATGTTTGTGTTCTTAAGTTCTTTTTAGGTTTTTGATTAATTAAGTGCATCAAACATTTTCATATTATTTGTTTTTAATATGCTTTAAATTATTTTTTCTTTTATTACTTAGTTAATACCTTTAATCCTTTCCAAAATCAGCTTTACTTGGTGTGAACTTCGAAAATATGACATCTGAAGTACAATTTATCCCTGACCTTGATCTTCACATCCTCAAGGTCAAAGAGAAGCAAAGGAAATTTTTGAAAGAGAAGGTCAAAAAGATGGGACTAATATCTTAGCTCTTTATCAATTACATAACTAAACATCCTATGAATACTTACTGAAATCACCAATTAACTTCAAAAAAGGTATATTGTGACTCTCATGTGTTCAAGCGAAAATATGTTATTAATGCAATCATTAAATGTAATATAAATTTATTTAAATTTTGTTGAAGTCATAGAATTAACATAAATATTGTATTTTAATTTTATTGTTACAGATTCTACCACTATTCTCTTAGTGAGTTACTTTACTGATGGATGCGTATATGGGCATAACATGTGTATTTAATGTGCTTATCAAACAAAATTTTAAAAATTCATTTTATTTTATAATCTTATGGTATAGATGACAGATTAATATAGTTAAATATTTGATATAGTACTATTGCACTAGACATATTTAAAAAGATCACATTAAACGTTGTAAACAGTTGTGATTGGAATGAATTGTCTCTGTAAACAACTCAGATTTTGTTTGATTTTTATGGTGTACTATTCAAGGAATAATTTTTCTCACTTGTATGTTTACAAACTTCATTGATTCACTTGTACAAATGTCATTGATGTTAGTTTAATTTGTTAAACTAACATCAAAAGTAGCATCTTTCTTTCATTTAAAAAAAATTAGGTTTGCTATGTTTACTCCGATAAAAATTTTTTCTGTTGTGCATTTTGTCAACCTAAGATAAATAATAAACAATTTTTCTTTCTGTCCTATCAATTATTACTCACTTAATGAGCTGTTTTTAGAGGGGTTTAATTAAATGATAAACATTTTTATTTAATAATCATAAGCTGCATATTAAAGAGATTATTATCCTTGTTCAGTCTAAAAGTAAAATCTGTGAAAACTATAAACATATTCTTCTTGATAAACACTTCTCCCTTAAAAGAAAATTTCTCTTTCTCTCTCTCTCTCTCTCTCTCTCTCTCTCTCTATATATATATATATATATATATATATATATATATATATATATATATATATATATAATTTATTTTTCTACCAAATACTGTTTATAGACCCTTCTGTCTAATATTTTCTTTTTACTAAAAATAATTGTATTTCTTGTAATGTGGAATGGGTTCATGTCTCTATCACTGACTGAACTCCCCCTACCTTTATGTTAATATCTTTAGTCCAGACCTCAATTTGAACACTCCTATTTCCAAATCTGATAACCTTATCCTGTATCCTCTTCCCTTTCTGACATGATATATATCTTGCAAGACATGGGCTTGATGTTTCATGAGGAATGAATGATTTCCTGCGCCTGAATCATAAAATTTTCTCTATTTATCGCCAACACCACCTCTTTATCCCATCTTGTTTTTCATTTTTTTAAGATCTTGTTTCCTCTCATTCCTTCCTGAAATCTAGTTTCAAATAATTTTTATTCCTGCTGACAAAAGTATCAAGAGTCATAAACCATACTGAGTACCATAATAAAATGTATTCACTCCTTTCTGATCAAACCACCTATCTTAAAACCAAACGCTACTACCCCATCTCCCACCATTAAATTAACAGTTATCTCAAATACCTCCTTAATAAGAAAACAAATCAAGCTTCCTTCATTTTTGTTTTGTTTGGTTTTATCTCTCTCCTTCTCCCCCTTTTTTTAGGCTTTACAGGTTTTTTTCTGAGAAAGGGATTAATGCCAGAGTTTTTGTTATTTTTGTTTTGTCCATCCCTTCATCACCTTTTATGCTATACAGGGATTCTCTGGACCAGGGGATTAATGCCAGAGTTAAAAGCCCCTCTCTTCCCCTACCCACACTAATAAGGGAAAATAACATCATATAAAAACATCAATTTATCATGTAGTTGGTTGTTTTGCTACGCTTGTTTTGCTCGGCCCCCTTTTCCTTAATGCCAGAATTAAAAGTCCCTCTAGGCTCCAGGATTTGAACTGGTAATCTTGGGTTTATCAGGCTATTGTTGAATACAAGTTTTTGTGTTTGCAAGCTAAATCCTCAGTATACAAAAAAATTAGGAATGTTTTAGTGTCATAAATTTAACTTCAAAATGTTGACACATTAGTTATTAGCTATATGTAACAAATAAAATTGTTACTTGAAGAAAATCATCTTAACCCTTTGACCGCGGGAGCTCATTCTCATGTTCCTACCAGATGTTGCATCATGAAATCCAGAAAAACGTATTTTTTTTTTTCATAAATTAGTTTAAGATGTTTTTTTGCACCACCCTGCAAGATCTTAGTTTTTAAAAATGCATTTTAACTTTTTTATTCAACTTTTAATAGATGGTACATATCAACCTTTCCGGCCGGACATAGCAATGCAAAATTAGAGCTGCAATCCCACAACACTTTGCTTTCTTGCATATTTGCTCATTTCTAAAAAGCAAAATAACTGAAAATTATCATACAAGTTTACATATACATGAATACAAGTTTACATATACATGAATACAAGTTTACATATACATGAATACAAGTTTTTGTGTTTGCAAGCTAAATCCTCAGTATACAAAAAAATTAGGAATGTTTTAGTGTCATAAATTTAACTTCAAAATGTTGACACATTAGTTATTAGCTATATGTAACAAATAAAATTGTTACTTGAAGAAAATCATCTTAACCCTTTGACCGCGGGAGCTCATTCTCATGTTCCTACCAGATGTTGCATCATGAAATCCAGAAAAACGTATTTTTTTTTTTCATAAATTAGTTTAAGATGTTTTTTTGCACCACCCTGCAAGATCTTAGTTTTTAAAAATGCATTTTAACTTTTTTATTCAACTTTTAATAGATGGTACATATCAACCTTTCCGGCCGGACATAGCAATGCAAAATTAGAGCTGCAATCCCACAACACTTTGCTTTCTTGCATATTTGCTCATTTCTAAAAAGCAAAATAACTGAAAATTATCATAAAAATAAATGTAAGCCATCATAAAAATGAAATTTTATTATTTCTAAAAAAAAAAAAAAAACTGACAATTAGATTCTAGATTCATATTATATATTTCTTTGTATTTACAATTTTTTTTCTTACCTAAAGTTCCATATGGCGCAGTTATAAATTTTATTATTTCACTTACATTTATTTTGAGTTTCAAACACTTTTAATATTACATGAAATGTATATATTGTTTTAAGGTGGAAGAAAAAATGATAAAACAACTAAAATATTAATTTTTTTATATTTTCACATCTATTTATTGCATTATATATATTTTAACATTGTACATAGTTTTAAGTATCCTAGTATGGTTTCAAGAGTTTTTTATATAGATTTTTTTTTTTTATTTTGTATATAGTATGTATAACCAATATTTTTTTATTTTATTTTCTTTAATGACCTATCATTATCTTAATTTATGTTTGTTTTTATCTGGCCAGATGTAAAATTTTAATTTCTGTACTTTTTTGTTATTCTGAAGGGACTTCGTCCCAGAATAAAATTATTTTTCTATTCTATTCTATTCTATATATTGTTTAGTAGACAGATTCACCTGTACCAAAATCACATTCAGTCAAAACCAAAATTAAATTAACTTATTAACTTTTATTTGATTTATATAAC